TTCCACATCAGGAGTCCTCATAGCTTGGGCATTCTGAATTGCCTCCTCGGAAAATGCAGGGAGAGTCAGCGAGTCTCCAATTACTATTGCCCTAAGTGAGTCACTTGGGGCGTTCTCTTCATTTCGAAGGGCCTTAGAGTCGGCCCCTTCAGACATACCTGCTGACTGCTCATTTCGATGGGAGGCATCTTCAGTCTCCAATAACTCGGGGACTTTGCATGGGTCCTCTTCCAAGACCCCCTCGGTTCGAGGCAGAATCTCTTCAACCCTCACCGACTCAAAGGGCTTTGGGGCCTCGGTGTTCCTTTTCACTCGGGCCACCAACTTGGATCCGTCGTTTTCATTTTCTTCTTATTCTTCTCTTAGCCATTGAACTACCTCCGCAGGTAGGGCGACGATGTCTTTCTTTGGATTATGAGCCGGATTTTTCTTAGCCTTTGGATCCTCGAAGGTTGAGATCTTTTTCCTCTTCTTATCCTTTACCGGTTTCGGGGCCGGGGGCAAAGTCTCCTCCTCACCAGACGAGAGCCTCATGACAACATCCTTTCCAAGGCTTATGTGAAAGGAAATCAAGTGAGCATGAAAGAGATATTTCAACAAAAATCATCACATACATGAAAAAGGAGCTTACCATGATTTTTGGCCTCCTATCAGCCCCTTGCTAAGTCGTACCATGAGCGCTCAACGTACGAAGAAGTTGAGGCCAGGTCCCGAACCCAACTCATGAGGTTAGAATTACATCGAGCATCCAAGAGACCGCTACATCATGGAAAAAGATATCGATAAGAAGAAACGAAGGAAACAAAACAATAAATGGAAGTTAAAAGCAAGATTGTACTTATGCTTCATATTCCATTTCTCGAGAAATGGCATCTTCTCGTCTGGGATTAGGTTGAAAGTCTTCACTCGAACGAACCAGCCCATCCATCATCATTCATTGTCCAAATCTATGCTCGAGAACATCACTTTAGTGGCCCGACACTGAAGTTTTATTAACCCGTCTCGATAGAGACAAGGGTTGTACAACTTGATGAGGTGGTCGAGGGTGAAAGACATCCCCTCGACTTTGCCCATGAAAAATCAAAGCAGAATAACAATCTACCAGAAGGATGGATGGATTTGACATAGGGTTATTTGATATTGGCGGCAAAAATCAACGATGATGGGATCGATGGGGCCCAACATGAAATGGTAAGTGTACACACTTAGAAACCCTTCCATATGGGTGGTGATGTCCTCTTCAGGGGCTGGAATCACCACCTCTTTGCCTTCCCAGTTGCAGTCCTTCTTTACCTGCTTAAGGAAACTCATAGTTATCGAGCATATATACCTCGACATTGGCTCACATCAACCAGGGACCGACGAAGTTTTCTCGATCTTAAAATGGGAAGTAAGGACGCACCCCCCAGGAACACACTCCTTAGAGTGTGGCTCCACCAGTGTTTTGTCGCCGACCGGCCATGATGAAGAAACGTTTTCCTTTTGAGGAACAATTTTTGACGTTTTTGCCATTTTGTATGAGTTTGAAGAGAGAAGAAGATAATAGAACCTGTAGATTTGAGAGGAAGTTAGCAATGAAGCTATAAGATTTAAGGTGGGAAACTTTGGGGATGCAGAGAGCTTTGAAGATTAGAGCAGAGATTAAGAGTAAAGTTTGGGCAAAGGGAAGGAAAACATATTTATAGGATGAAGATGATGGTTCCGAACCGATAATAACAAACAACAACTGACAAGCATTAATGCCTCGATATACGAACGGATGGGACATTTCGGTCACTTCTGACGCTTACATCATAATGCTTACATCATGGTATATCGAGGACAAGTTCGAAGCCTCAATTCGTTTCTTGTCATTACACTCTAAAAAACAAGGAGACTATATGTATACCGATTTTACTAATTTATCGGAGCCGGGGTAAAGGATCGAAGATCGACCCCATAATGGGTCAGACCGAGGCACAAAGACTGGGCACCGAGTTTGTGATTCGAGATGCCTATTGAGCTCGAGGCCAATAGTGATCGAGACCAAATGGGACAGACAACATGCAAGATCGATGACAGTGTAAGGCCCCGTGAAATTTCTACTCAAAAACCCAAAATCTCGTAGTGCCAATTAAGAGTCGTTGCATAACCTCCTTGGGATTTTTGCATAGGGTAGTTCTGCAGTGCATTATGTAACCGTAGAACAGGTATGCAAACCACATATTGGTCGCATAACCGGGATGAGTATCCAGGTCTGAGGGCCACTTTTGCGGTCCCTTTTGCGGGTCGCATATCAGTTATGTGGTCACATATATGACCGTAGATCGAGTCGGGGCTCCTATTTTCTAACTTATAAAACCCGACCCCATTCTGTTAAAATACCCCATTGGACCCTCTTAAGCTAATATCTACTACACTTAGAGTGAGGGCAAGAGTTCTAGAGGAAGAAAGTGATCCTCACCAAGCTTCTACTCAATCATTGCCCAAATCCTTGAAGATTATCAAGGAAAGTTACTAGGCCTTCATCCTAAGAGGTAAGAACTTGTGCCCTAACATTCGATTTCGAAATTCCTACTAAAATAAGTAATTAACAAATGGGTTCATGGGTATAAGGGTTGATTGTCTTGCATGCATGTATGATAAAAGGGTATGGGGAGATTGTGAGCTAAGAATGTAGCAAATGAGTGTAGGATGATAGAACTTTTTCCACAAAAGACCTTAAAAATTCATAATGCACACGTAGTGTTTGATAATGTGCTCAAGTGAGCTAAAATCTCGATTATCTCACTAATTGTTGGTTTAACTTATAATTCTTATAAAATAGATCGAAGTGGCTAAGAGTTTCGGAATTTATGTAAGAATCTAAGAAAAAGCTCTATTGAGGTATGTAAGGCTAACCCTCTTCTTCTTAGTGTTGAATTCTTGGTGTCCGAATAGCTGGTGTGAGTTCCGGATTGATCACACTAGATGGATTGTATTAATGTGTTTGGTTGACAGACTTTTATTCCAAAATTGTTCTATGTGTTTACTCTGAAATCATGATAGTTGAAAATATGATTATGTTCTCCAAGTGTTCTTATTTTTCCTTATGTGTGCATGCCTTATATAGTAACCTTGTATCGACATAGATGATGAAGCTATATGATCGAATAAATAAGGGGAAAGGCATGAATTGTAACAATGTATCCAAGTGCCAAGAAATAAACCAATAAAAGAGGTGTGTGGTGCCATGTAATGGAAAAATGGAAAGAAATATGAACTAAGGAATAATTGAAAGAGGTTATGTCCCAAGTGAGATGGCTAAGCCGATCAGGCCAAGATCGGACGCCATACTGTACACATTGTGGCATTTACATTGGATTTCTGATTATCATTATGGATCTAGGTATGTCTCACTTGGGATGGCTTAGCCGGTCGGGTCGAGACTGGACTCCGGGAAAAATCACGATGGCATTATAGGTTATAGCACTTGGCACTAAAGAATATTAACCTAAAGGAGTGGAAAGACTCAACTGGAACCATGTGAACCTTATTTGGTGTTTTCCTTGTAATCATGTGAAGTACTTGTTGATGTTATAACTGCCTTCTATTTGTTCACTTTTCATCCTATTAAGAATTGTATTTGCCTTACATACTAGTACTATTCGACAATACTAACGTCCGTTTTATCGGGGACACTACATCTTTGAATGGATATAGGTGGTTCCATTGTTGATAGTGCCGATCGCAGATAGTGGTGCTCTCTTTCTCTCTTCACAGTTGTCTTGGTGAGCCCCCATTTCTCCCAGTGGTTTTGTAGTTCTTCTTTTGTGTAAATTTCCATATTTTGAGGTATACCCGGGGCCTTGTTGCCGGCATTGTCATTTTGGTCTTTTGTATCCTTAGAGGCTCCGTAAACGTTTATGTGGGTCATGTATGGGTGCCGGGGTAGTCATAGGATCACATCATATTTTGAAACTTTTCTCCACTAGACTGTCAACTATATGTACTTTTGGAAACTTAACTATGACATGTTGTATTTAAGTAAGAATCTAACTAGCAATGTTTATGCATTTATATAACAACTCTCTCTCCCCCATGTTTAATAATTGGTGATGCATTACTTCTTCGGATATAGAATGAGTTGGGTAAGAAAGGCTAGATAGGCTTGCTCGACCGGGTTCGCTCAGTTGCGCGCCGGTCGCGCTCCCCGAGGATTGGGGCGTGACAAACATCATAATAACGGAAAGGCGAGATATCCATGACTGGTCGAATATCATGGCGGAAATCTCGGAACAGATCAAACCAAAGGCGGTTGTTTAGACTAATCATTTTATTTAATTCCGTAATTAGAATTGTACCATAGATAGGATTCCTCTACTATATAAAGAGGGTTCTAATCATTTTGTATCCATCTTACATTCACGCATATCAAAGCAATACAACACTTTCTGTCTAGCTTATATTTTTGTTCATCAGTTTGCTTATTTTTTGACTATTCGGGTACCGACCAGTTCGAGGGCTGAATTACGTTTCCTGGTTTGCTTTATCTCATTGTTAATTTCTATTACTGATCTTCATATTCATCAATTGGTATTAGGTGAAATCACGTGTCCTTAAAATCACATTATAAGTTTAATTGTTATCCAATTTTTTGGGTAAACAAATAACAATAATAATATACCCAGTATAGTTCCACAAGTGAGGTCTGGGGAGGATAGAGTGTACGCAGACCTTACCTCTAACTTTAAAAAGGCAGAGAGACTATTTTCCGGTAGACCCTTGACTTAGGAAAAATGTTAAAAATCTATTTGCAAAAAATATGGTTAATAAAGCTTCTTATTTGACACCCCAAATAATAATATGTTCCTTCTTTATGAAACAATTGGAGTATATATTAATTAATGTAAGTTTTACATTAAAGAAAACCTTAAATTTCAAATTTATAAGAAAATTCTAACTATATTAAAGAAGACAATTTGCTTATGGTAGTTAAACCGCTTAGGCGAAGTGGACAGAAGGGCATAATATTTTTAATCCACAAACCAAATCGGCTGCAAACTGCCAGTAAATAATGACAGCAGTGACTCTGTCTGTTGGATAGCTCCGTAAAAGTCAGATATTTTGCAGTGAATATGTAGAGATACTGTTGAGAGAATACAGGTCCGTCCCCTCCCCAACTTTTTCCGTTGAATCAACACTCATCGCTACCGTCTTACTCAACTCGCTTCTGCTCAAAAGTATGTAACATTTCTGTATATCTTTACCTAACAGCGGTTTTAGTTCCCCTTATTTCTAGTTTGATTGGACTCTTCAAAGTTAAAATCGATTGTACCAAATTTTTTAACTGGGATGGTAAAGCAGAATTTTTTTCCCGTTTAGATGACAATTGAGGGATTGAAAATGGTAACTGAAGGAGAATTATGAGATGGGTCCTCATAAAAAAATGATGAGATTGGTATTAGCATTCTTTTCCCTTCTACTTGTTTTCGATGTGGATTTTGGTCAAATGAGTGTAAGAAACGTAGTCTTTTTTAAAAAAAAATTAATTTCCGTTATTTATGTGCTTCTGTACATCTTCGATGGATCACTTAGTTCATGGTTTTTGAGGTTTGATTTACTCTTTTTCTCGCAAATAGGGTGCCAATGGCGGGGGCTATGTTCAATTAAATTCCCTTAATCGGAAAATTGTACTGCGCAAAATATAGTAAAAACAACTTTTTTGGGGGTATATATAAGGTTTTGAATCCCCTTGACATATGTTTCCCTGCTGGTGCATCCCTGGGTTAGCTGTGATGATATCTGTGCGTCTATGCGGTGATAAGGGTCTCTGCTGTTTTCCGACTTTACAGGACGATGAGTTGTGCATCTGAGCTTCCCTTCTTTTCTTCTTATCTTATAAAAAAAAGATCCCCTTGACATATGGGAAACTTTAAATCTATCGAATAAGGGGTACAAAAGTTACTTTAGGTCATACGTCAGCATCCTAATCATCACATTCTTGCATTTCCTGGCTCCGCCACGTTAGGCCGCCATGCTAGATATTGTCATGTGTGTTTGTATGCAGACTTGTGTATGACTGTGTGAGCGTGCTGGTAAATGTATGCTCTTTATTTAAAGTTTCATCCAAGTAAGTAAACGTTGAAAACCGAAAAAGAATTCCTGTGGTTTTATGCTCATAATACCTTGATTAGATTCCTCTTTGGATAAATTGAATTTTTCGGATGTAGCCAAACTGTTTGCTTGATTTTGATTTATCTGATGAGAATTTGTTACTTGGTATCGGAATAGTGAATCAAATAATTTCAGCTTTATATCAAGTCTGAGCCTGTTTTTGTGTAGGAGGAATGTTAAAAAAGGTTGCAGAGGGATAGCGACGTTCTGGCTTGGTCCTTCATAGTTGTTATCAATGCAGGATGTCGGTGTAGTCCGGCATGATAGTACCGCCCTGGGTGGCCACTGCGGTGATCCATTGGATATTGAAAAGCAGAATGCGGAGGCCAGCAATCATGGCTTAGCTACTGAAAATGTGGATCAATCTGTACTCACCATAGTGGTTTCTGCGGGCGAATCACTCAACTCCCAAGCTGCCACTGTAACCACAGACCCAGTTGGGGATATTGCCACTACTGAGAAAATAGCAATTGTAGAGTCTCGTAAGAAGCTTAACTTATCCAGGAATTCTAGTCATCATGAACAATGCAGGTTTCTAGCTCTTCTACTTGTGTAGAGATTAGGTCCTTTTTGCTTATCTCTTTACTGCTTTCTCGTAAGTCATAAGCACCGTGTAAATTATTTATGAGACCCTTTAATTTTCAAACTTTTTGATCCTTATTGAACCCTTCTTATGTGCTTTGTTTGCATTGGTATCTAATCTAGATACCGAATAAACCCCCCCCCCCCCAAAAAAAAAAACTTATTGTCGAGAACTTCTGTTTGGATGATCTTTTGTTCTACCAAGATTTAGCCTTTTTTTTTGTACAAAGGTTTATTGCTGTAATCATGTCCAAAGTTGCGTACCGATCAATAACACATCAACCTTATGTTCGATGATGGTATCTAGATATAATAACCATAAGAGAAGTACCCATACCCTTTTTTTTGGGTTTCGTTTTGACACTATGACCTTTATTTCTTGCTAGGATTTAGCTCTCAAGAGCTGTTGTGAATTTGATGTGTTGCTATAATCATGGTCAAAGTTGTGGTAGTGCTCATTATCATTTCACTTCTGTGCAATTGAATGGTAGAGTGTGACACATGAACTGTCAAGGGATTAAAAATTGAAAGGGAAATCGGAGTGCTTACAGGATTTATATTTGAATTAATGTCCACCTTATTTAAAATAAAGAATTAAGTTGATGTCCGTAACTAACTTAAAATAGGCTAGCAAATCCTAGTTGATTAACTCTATTAGATTTGCAAAAAAAAAAAAAAGACCTTTTGAGATAGTCTTTTTTTTTTTCTTTTAATATATTTTTAGTACTTTTCCAAGAGTCTATTGGAAACAGCCTCTCTACCTCACACAAGGTAGGGATACGGTTTGCATACACCCCATCCTCCCTAGACTCCATTTGTGGGATCAGGTATGTTGTTATATTTTTAGTACTTTATGGATTGCTAGTTGGTATTCTTTCAGATCTTGCTGCAGCAAAATGACCATTTATTTTCATTTAATATAGAGTGTGCCAATCTTTTTAAGTTTTATTCATAATTTTTGATGTGCATATTCAGAGTATCAATCTTTGAATATAAAGAACGAGGCTTAGGTACATTGAAAAGTCTCTGAAGCAGCTTTTTAGAATATAAAGGACGAGGCTCTGGTCCAGTTTTGAAATTCTTTATGATGTTTTGCAGAGTATGTCAAGAGGAAAAGGAAGAAGAGTTGATCGATCTTGGATGCCACTGTCGTGGTGGATTGGCAAAAGCACATCAGTCATGCATTGAAACATGGTTTAATACTAGAGGTTCAAATAAATGCGAAATATGCCAGTAAGTGATAGATTAAGTGCATGCTAATTTTGTTTTTCCTTATACAGTATATTGATGTAGGTTTTCCATTTTATGTAGGCAAGTAGCTGCAAATGTGTCACCTCCAGAGTCTCATGCACCTGTAAGTATCTGTCTTTGTTTGGATAACAATGATTTTAGATGAGTGCGAAACGATTGGATCTCTTTAAACTTTGGTTATGCATGCTTTTGGCTCTCTATTTGAGGTTGCTGCTGGGTGCTTCAGCATTCAAGCTAGACTGCTTTTTGAAGCATGAACATCCTTCTGGCGTTTCAGCTCATAGGTTCTTGAACTTGAGCATTTGACTGCACCTGCCTCCCTTGAGTGCTTTTTGTGGTTGATTAAGTAGGAGTGAATGGAGAATATACTTTTTGAACCATCAGTATGAGAAAGACAACTTTGGCTAGTGGCAATACTATGTCACTTCCCAGAATGTTGTGTGACTAGAATGGAATAGATAAAGAACACTTGATAAAATAGTGAAACACGAAGAAAATACACGGCATATGCAGATAATCGTTATTCCCTTCCACAAAGAGTTGATTCTGGTAATTAAATACCATTTTGAGTCGAAGTTTAATATCTTACAACATTATGCATCTTTATAAAAAAGAACCAACTTCAAATTGTTTTAAAACTATAATGGACAAGATAAGAACCGATAAATTTGTAAATGAGGAAGAATATGCACCACTACAAACAGGTAGTAGTTATTCCCTTTTATTGAACATAGCTCACAAGTAAGAGGCATACGAAAAAGTGAAAAACCTACACAAATATGTGGTTCTCTACAAAAAAACACCCGATCTTCTGTACGTAAGGAAACCTCATAGGTGCACCAAAAAGAAATACCCAACCAAGCAAGTTTTGAGAGAACTCCTACTCTGAACATGGTCGTTGGCTATGAAGAAGCGAGGTTCCTTTCCTCTATCAACCTTTCGACAGACACCACCCAACTCCAGTACTAGCGAGGCTAAAGTCTCTTTGAAGGACAAATCTCCAGCTTCCTTAATTCTAAAGATAGGAGCTTCTCTCTCTTGGGATTCATTTTTCGAAATATTTCTCTTACAATATCTGTGAGTCAAGCAATTGGAGATGTCCGTTTGAGATTGTTTATGGCAAACGACCAATCAATCCTTTAGACCTTCTCGCACTGCCAACCACTCGCGAGTTTGGTGCTACTACTGAGGAAAGAGCCAAGGAGATCATGAAGTTTCACGATGAAGCTCGAAATAATGTTGTTCCGCATAACACTCGCCATGAAAAGGAAGCCAACAAGCACAAAGAAGCATGTTATTTTCAAAGAAGGAGAATTAGCATGTATTCACTTAACTAAAGAACACTTTTCTGAGTCTCGCAACAAGTTATATCCTCTAGCAGATGTCTCTTTTCAAATCTTGAAGCGTATCAACGATAACGCCTATAAGATCGAACTACCTGTAGACTATGGAGTATATACTACTTTAAATGTTGTTAATCTGTCTCTTTACTATGAAAAGCATAAAGGAGACTCATAGCATGAAAGCAAGCCTCTTCCAACCCCGGAAGAATGACACGGGGCTTAGCACCTAATGATGCAAAACTTATGACATGATGATTCAACAGCTTGCCATCATTTATCTTTATACTTGTCATATGTTTTAGCTATCATCTTTATCTTCTAGCTTACCACTACTTTGTCATCTAGTTATCCTTGGAAATAGCCAAGTAGCCAACCAAGGTGGCCTCTTTTTCGATTATCATTTCCTAACCTTGCCAATACTAGCACACGTCAATGATTTGGCGTCAACCAACTTTTCTAAGCCATGTCCTTCTTATAAGTTTGCATTAAGGGACATGTTCTCCACTGAGTTGCAAAGTTGGAAATAACTGATTTCTCAAAGAAAAAAATTTTAAAAAAAATTTCACACTAGTTCAGTGAATAGTGATAGTCTTCTTATGTTGTTTTGAGCAATTCTCACTACATGAACTAGATGTTGGAGTTGAGTTAGACCCAAGGTACATTAACATAGTAATTTCATTTATTCCTTTTTTAGATTTTGTGGCTCCAAGTTACTTTCTTGATAAGTCAAGTAAATTTCTTTAAAATATATCGTGTCAATAGTATGTAGAAATTGGTTGGCTCATCCATAATCCTCTTACGTGTTAGGGTAAATATGTATACAGCCGGATTCTCTCTTTATGGCAGAATCAAGTTTCTTCGCCACAAAGTAATTCTTGATTCCTAGTCATTTATCCTAGACCGAATGTTTTGTATTTATATGCTTTCTACCATGGTTATGAATAAAAAGGCTGAGTTGATTATGTTGCGTTGATCTCTTATTTTGAAG